GTTGATTCTGTTGACAAGGACAGAGACAAAGGTGAAAGAGAAAAAGCCAATTTTGAGAATATTTGAAAAAAAATCCAAAATATTAATGAAATGATACGTGACTCCTTCGTGAAAGTGAGCGCAGTCAACGGGATATCATCCAGCAGCAGTCCTGCATTCAACCGATATTTTATTTTGTGATGAACACTCTGTTCGCGGGTTCTAAATGTAAAGTGTTGATGATGTTCAATAATAACATTTCAGTGATTATCATAGGTGATAATTTATTATTTTGTGGATATCAATATGGACAGTGAAATTATTTTATGTTTAGGTGGAGAAATACCAATGAAAAGTGATTTAAATGAATCCCACATTACGTTTAAAATAGACATATTCGTTATTTTATTCTGTGGTGTCGTTTCAGTTCATTATCCATTCTCGAGTTCATCGTTTTCTTTTTTTATCATACATTTTTTAAGGTGAAATTCAGTTTCATTTCACTTTATCATAATACATTTCACCATTCATTCTCTTCCATCTTCTATTCAATATGATATTGTGCAAGTATTGTGGACTAATTGTGATATAATTTGTCGTTCATTTCTTCTTCAATAAACGTTTAAAACTTTTGAATCACATTCTCTATTCGAATCAATCACATCTTAATGCCAACCATCGTTTCCATTTATGAGCGGTGTTGAGCGTTGAAGCGGTTAGAGCGCTTGCCACAAGTTGACGGACGGTAAGCTGTTAACCTCTTCAAGAACGGACGGACACCTTGTCCAGACTGTCCACCCTCGGCCGAAGCCAGGAATGTTCCCCACAATCAGAGAACATACAAAAATTTCAGTGGATGATATTACAGAGTCTCAGACTCTGCACTATTGCTTGCTTCTGATGAGTATATGCATACTGAATGAAATAAATGAGTAATACAAGCTCGTTTATAGACGATTTCTAAATATGCACCGTAATTAATGATTAAATTGATCAACATTCCAAGATCACCTCATCAAAATTTTAAATTATCATCTCTCATCAATTACACCTGACAATGAGCTAACTTTTTATAATACACTCACAAAATAAATGTTTGCTGAAATCGAACCGAAACGAAGTATGGACGGTGGCCGAACAGTGGACAGGCACTAAATTGTAAGGGTAAGGAACTAAATATCCGTCACTGGTGCAATGTTTTGATATACTGGTGACATTTACAAACTGCATTTCTCTAGCAGCATTTTTAGTTGAATTCACTAGCGTTGAATGTGAATGTTATTGAGAGTGTTTATTTAGAGTTGAGTCATCGAGTTGTTCCCCTCACCTGCAGACACCTTGCATACATTAGTACACCACTTACTATTATCGATGTTTCTTTTATAATTCTGCATTTCGAAACATTTCCAAGTTTCTCGGATTTTTGAGGAAATCTTCAGAATGTTTTAAGAGAAGCTTCCATATTTGTTGCGATAACCAATAAGAACCGATAAATCCATCTCGAGTGAATGAGTTTCTATGGTACTTTCTTGAAAACCGTTGTCATATCGTTTCAGTGGATATCATTAAAACGATAAGTCACACACTCTTAATTGTAATGATCCAGTTGAGTGTTGATGATGATTTATTTCAGTTAAGTATAAAGTCGCAATCGACCAAATCAATGTCGTCTTCATCGGATGAAACAAAAAAGTCAACTGAACTCGATCG